CCCCCTGATAGCACAAAATGGGGACCCTTATGCTACGTCGAGGCAAAGCCTTTCGTTACGGGGGAATTGGCTGTCAGGGACCACTCGGTGTTCCTTAACCCTGCGCGTGGAGAATTGGCACCCCGTATTGAGGGGTACCCCCCCCTATAAACCCTCGGTCTTGTGCCAGGCGCCCGCTACAACATGGCCGGGCGCTTTTCTTCAGGCCCCTGCCGGAGCACCTCCACAAACTGGAAGGTACCGCCCTCAGATGATCTCTCTGCCTGCACAGAGAAGATCCGAGAGTCACTCTTTTTGGTACTCAGGATCAGCGGCGAAGGTTGTCAGTCACGAGGAAGCCGGGAAAAGGCATGCGGGAAGAAGAACGGCTAGCTGGTCGTAGCTGGTCGTCTTCGGGGAGGGTGCCTGGAAGGTACCCAAATCAAAAGATCTCCAAGGACTGTAAGCTGGCCAGCTACCAAACACACCGGGCCAGCTAGCTGCTGAGTTCGGCGTTGGCGTGGCTTGTCGGCGTGTGAACTTGTGAAGGAAGAACCTCGAGCTCGGCGTTTCTGCGCATATTGTGGCATGCGGCTCAGTCTGAACGGGATGTTTACATCACGAACTGTCATGCTTCGTCATGCTAGGCAAGCCCATGCCAGCCGATCATATCTATTGCGGTCAGTGTGGCAAAAGGGCAGGGCGCTCGGGAACTTGTGTTGGCTACATCGCGCATTGCGTGACATCTTTCAGGCTGCAGATGGCCTGTGTGCTCCACAAACAACCTGCTGAGCGTTTATAACATTTCTAATTTGCTTACGGCGTGGGCCTCTTTAATCAAGGGTCTCGGTTCGAGGCATTCTTGGGTATTTACAACTATTTCCTTCTAATTCGGTCGTTTTGCGAGCTCTGGTCGAGGGAGCACCTATTGCCCGGAACACCCATGCCCCGCTACATGTCCAGGCACTGTAATACTGCCATGGGGCTCGGTCGCGGAGACAGATAGATATAGATGTAGATGTAGATGTAGAAGTAGATGTATATATATATATATATATTTCTATATTTCTATATATATATAGAGAGAGAGAGAGTTTAATGGCGAGAGATTATAAGAGGCAATGGATGCTTCCACGAGAAACTGTTGTTCGGCTGGAAAATCATTTCCCTGTGGAGGCTCCCAAGGAACGGTGATTGGTGAAGAGCCCACTTGTATAAATAGATATCCTCCTTAAAGGATTCTTTTTCTGCCATAATCATTGTGATGGTTCATGTGTAAACATAGATATACAGTAGTATATAGGTTGCTGAACCAAAACCCGGTTCCGCGCACAAACCGATTTTCTATGTGAAAACAGGTTTGGTGTTGAGCCAAAAACCGGTTCCATACTGTGAAAACCAGTTTCGCGCAGTGATTCAAAGGCGAAACCAGTTTTCCTGTGGAACCAGCTTTGGTTTAACCAAGCTTGTTTTGTATTTGTGGGATTTGTATCCACCTACAAACCATTTCCAAACAACTTTCTGGTACTCGCGATACATATATATATATATATATATATGTGTGTGTGTATGTGTGTGTAGGTGTAGGTGTATGTGTAGATGTAGATGTAGATGTAGATGTATATGTATATTTACGTTGGAAACACACACACACAGGTATACATATGTATATATATATAATATGTATGTGTATGTACATGTCCGTGCATGCCTGAGATTCTACATGTTGACAGGTTGTTTGTACCTTCATCCTTGACAAAACAACCGATTTCAAACAAACGTGCTATTTGCATGCTTTGCGCGAGGATATCTGTATATGTGTACTATATGTAAAAATTATGCATTTCGACATCTATATCTATACGCATAATAAGTGTGTGTATCTCTGGGCTTCTACAGATAGATACATACATGTATATATATATATAAAGAGAGAGAGAGAGAGAGAGAGAGAGAGAGAGAGAGAGCGAGAAAGATAAGGATGTTGTGCTTCCACCAGTGTTCATCCACTTTTGCTTAAGGCTTGCAGGACATCGAGAGCTTTGGGGGTGTTCATATTGAGGGTGTAGGGTATTTAGGGTTTCAGGCCATTGAAAATCCAGAGTAAGGGAATGCGGGTGTACGGCAGCTAGGATTTTAGGGCAAGAAAACGTTGTTCGTAACCACCCTTTTCGAGTCTGGGCAGTCTGGCTGATGAGTTTTGGGTATTGAAGGCCTCCGGGGCCCCCATGAGCCACCAAAAACATCTCATCAGACAGACTTGAAAAGGGTGGTCGTTTTCGCTGAAAACGACCACCCACTCAAGAAAAAACAGCCTGTCTGGTTCTTGAAAGGGCGGTCGTTTTCAGCGAAAACGACCACCCTTTTCAAGTCTGTCTGACGAGTTTTTTCTGGTGGCTCATGGGTGCCCTTTAAAGGAAATGCGGAGGCATTACTGGTGCTGTGTTCTCACCTGTTGTCTGAAGCCGAAGAAAATAGTGACCACCCTTTTCAAGTCTGTCTGATGAGATTTTTTTGGTGGCTCATGGGCGCCCCGAGGCCTTCAATACCCAAAACTCATCAGCCAGACTGCCCAGACTCGAAAAGGGTGGTTACGAACAACATCGAACAACGTTTTTTGCCCTAAAATCCTAACTGCCGTAAACCCGCATTCCCTTACTCTGGATTTTCAATGGCCTGAAACCCTAAATACCCTACACCCTCAATATGAACACCCCCAAAGGTCTCGATGTCCTACAAGCCTTAAGCAAAAGTGGATCAACACTGGTGGAAGCACAACATCCTTATCTTTCTCGCTCTCTCTCTCTCTCTCTCTCTCTCTCTCTCTCTCTCTCTCTCTCTCTCTTTATATATATATATATATATGTATGTATCTATCTGTAGAAGCCCAGAGATACACACACTTATTATGCATATAGATATAGATGTCGAAATGCATAGTTTTTACATATAGTACACATATACAGATATCCTCGCGCAAAGCATGCAAATAGCACGTCTGTTTGAAATCGGTTGTTTTGTCAAGGATGAAGGTACAAACAACCTGTCAACATGTAGAATCTCAGGCATGCACGGACATGTACATACACATACATATTATATATATATATATATATATATATATATACATATGTATACCTGTGTGTGTGTGTGTTTCCAACGTAAATATACATATACATCTACATCTACATCTACATCTACACATACACCTACACCTACACATACACACACATACACATACACATACACACACACATATATAAATATATATGTATCGCGAGTACCAGAAAGTTGTTTGGAAATGGTTTGTAGGTGGATACAAATCCCACAAATACAAAACAAGCTTGGTTAAACCAAAGCTGGTTCCACAGGAAAACTGGTTTCGCCTTTGAATCACTGCACGAAACTGGTTTTCACAGGGAAAACTGGTTCTTCTATGGAACCGGCTTTTGGCTCAACACCAAACCTGTTTTCACATAGAAAATCGGTTTGTGCGCGGAACCGGGTTTTGGTTCAGCAACCTATATACAACTGTATATCTATGTTTACACATGAACCATCACAATGATTATGGCAGAAAACGAATCCTTTAAGGAGGATATCTATTTATACAAGTGGACTCTTCACCAATCACCGTTCCTTGGGAGCCTCCACAGGGAAATGATTTTTCCTGCCGAACAACAGTTTCTCGTGGAAGCATTCATTGCCTCTCAGAATCTCTCGCAATTAATCTCTCTCTCTCTCTATATATATATATATACAGATACACATTCTTATGTGGCTCAGTGGTGGATGTGCGACCTTTTGCAAGGGGCGTCCCAAAAGCCCCTCTCAGAAGCCTTCAGGTCGCTTGATCTCGGTGCCAGGGCTTTAAGACAGGCTCACTAGAGACCAAATTGGTTGGAAATAGTTGGTTAAACAGTTTGGCAAGCCCTCTGCACCTACGACAGAGAGGCCCACGCCGTGAGTAATTTCTAATTGCATACAGATCCCGCCGTTAGCGGGGTGGGGGGGAGGGGTACTCGGTAGTGGCGGTAGCATAAGTAGTAGTAGCAGTAGTCATAGCCGCCATAGTAGTTGTCACAGCAGTAGAGTAGTAGCATTGCATTATTATGATTATTATTATTAGTAGCAGTAGCAGGAGCAGGAGTAGGAGTAGGAGTAGGAGTAGTAGTAGCAGTAGTAGCAGTAGTAGCAGGAGCAGCAGTAGCAGCAGTAGTAGCAGTAGTAGCAGCAGCAGTAGTCGTAGTCGTAGTAGTAGTAGTCGTAGTAGTAGTAGTAGTAGTAGTAGTAGTAGTAGTAGTAGTAGTAGTAGTAGTAGTAGTAGTAGTAGTAGTAGTAGTAGTAGTAGTAGGAGTAGTAGAAGTAGTAGTAGCTCGTAGCGGGGGGCGTGACTCGTCCAGGTTTATGAACCCCCACCCCTTCCCGAACGGCGCGGTCTCACTTTATATCCTTGTTTAATGGAAGAAAGCGAGCGCATCATTCAAAGAACGCAAAGCTCAACAAATTAACAAATCTCGGTGTATGTGGGCTATAGTATACAGTTCTGAAATGAAAACAGGAGTGTCCAAACAGGACTTTCAGGAAAGACATGGTGCAGCTCCGTTGCACCCGTCCACAGGAGTGGGCGTTTAGCTCGCCTGTGTGTGTTCTATGTTGTCGTTCTGCGTGACATAGAGCATTTCAAGACTGCAATGGTGGTCGCACCATTGCATCGCATTTTTCACCGCATTTTTTGGCCGAGCTTGGAGCCGCTTAGGGCCTCAGACAGCGAAAACCACAACGAGTCGGATGAAGTGCCTGATGGGGACACATATCCTGCTGCACATTGCTAATTGCTAACCTTGCTCAAAGGCGCATTCAATGACTCGCAGCCCCTTGCAGCACGACCATGTGCTTGACCGATGATCTTGTGCAAGTGACGCCCGGGGTGTTGACATGTGTGGCAGAATAAGCGAATGTGACTCAATGAACACAAGGCAGAACCTGAAAGGAGAAACCCTAAACCCTAAATCCTACGGATGGGCCATACCGTTGGAGATGCCACTCGACGCTCAGTCGAAGCCGTCCGCAGAGTAAGCACCCGCACAAGCTGTACACCAATTTCAGCCTCCGAATGGGAGCACATAGAGGTGGTCCTCTTGGAGAACTCCGAAGTGGAGCATGTGTCATCGCTTATCCTGGACCACGATTCAAGGTTTCGTGCCGAGGTGTTTAGGCGAGACGAAGCTCCACTGAGGGGGCAAAACATGCCAAATCCCGAAGGAGATGAAGGAGCCATGAAAGGTGCAATGCAGGCACGAGGGAGTTGGAGGCCCTGCGGCAGAGGCGTGGAGCTCATTCTAGCAGCGGAAGAGCAGCTTGGACTGGAGGAGCTCGTGATCTTGTATCGCTCCAAGCGTGGTTGCTTGGTGGCAGATACCTCTCTACAAGCTCTCCCAGATGGCCTGGCACAGGCCAGGAGCACTCATGTGCGTTCATGCGCGTCCGATCCCGCATCCCCAGGAATATTCGCTCTGCGCTCCTTTGCAGCACGAGGCCACCGTGCATGCGGAGGCAAAGGCACCCAAAGACTCCAACGCGGGGGTCTCCAAAACATTGTCTTGATAAACACGCTGACAGGTCTGTGATCCCATCAATTCCGGGAGCGAGGCGTCGGTTTCTGTGTATCTCTGTAGTGTCTCTTGAAGCTTTGTCGACTGCTGTGGAGCTGTGTCCAGCAGGCATACGAGGATGACTTTGAAGATGATGATAGCGTGGACGACTCAAGTGCCTCAGTGCTCCATCGCATCTCCGAGCCCTGATCACGTGTCGTCGCATTTGCTCAGGAGCCAGAGCATCAATAGCTTGCACCCTGAGTGAGAGCTGGCGAAATACGGTCCTTTAGACTGGCCGTGACTGGCCTGCGTTTCTTAGTTGTCAGGGGGTCGGAGCGAGAATGCCAGAGCCGACACGACATAGCAGCAGCAAGCACGGTCCCACACGTCCGCAGTGGCCCTGCCTCTGCTGTAGCTCCAAGCAGGCGGTATGTTGCGTGACATAATGATCCACGATGCCATCCCCCCCCCCCCCCCACCCCCCAAAAAAAAGCCGATAAAAGCCGAATTCAAGCCTGAGGGCGTGCATGACATGACTGCGCGCAATACGCAGTGACAACAAAGGTCGAGAGCATCAGTGGTGCGGGTTATTGTGGCCTGTAGCTACTTGCAAGCTTGCTCGGCCCACGAGCTTTCATAAGCGTGGCTTTGATGTTGGAAGCAACTTGGGTGTCAGGATGTGTCAGGACAAAAGACGCCGACTCGCGTTCTTTGGCGTGTTCAATATGCAGTTCAGTATGCAGGAGCATTGACGGGATGTCCCTGTGATGCCTCTGGGGCTGGGCATATCCTCAACTTTAGGCGGTCCCGGAGGCGAGGTGACCCCACTATGTGAAGGGGGGGGGGGGGGTGGGGGCATCTGGGGGACTAAATGCCTCTCATGCTACAAGATTCCGAGAGAGTGTCCCATGTTAGCTTTCGTCATCCACCCCCAGCCTCAAGTTCTCAGCCAGCTCAATGATGTTGTGCAGTTGGATCCAGTTGGCATTTTGTTGGGAGTTCACTGGAGTTCCACATTCAACAAGATATTTCAGGCCTAGCGGCACGGGCCGGCCCCCGCCCCCCAAAGCACGAAACCTTGAACCTTGGCACTGTCTTCTCTTTCCCGTGTCTTTGTCCTCTCCTTCTCTCTGTCTCTCTTTCTCCTGCCTTCGCCCCCCCTCCCTCCCCCCCCCTCCCCCCCCGGCGCGCGCGCGCGCGCGCGCCGCGCGCGCGCGCGCGCACCCGCATCAGGAGCATCAGTGGGGTTGGTTTGGGGGCCTTAAAAGCATTCTATGCATGCGTTTTGCCTTCGAAAAACCTTCAGAAAACGCTGTAAACACGTGTTTTTGGGCTTGGGAAGCCTTTTGGGACCCAGGAAAGGGAGCATCATGAGCATCAGCGGCCTCCCCCAGGCCATCCAAAACCCCCTTAAACACGCCGATTGTATGTGCTTGAACGCTTGCGTGCCCACGAAACCCCCAAAAGCAAGACCCCGAATGCCCTTAAGGGCATTCGGGGTCCTGCTGTTCGGGTGTTTTGTAGGCACGAAGCCGTTCGAGCGCGTAAAATGAGCGATTTTAGGGGCGTTTTTACGTGGACCCACAAAACACTCGGTATTTACGAGGTTTTCTGCTGTTGGAACACCCCCCCAAACCGAGCATCATGAGCATCAGCTGGGTCTCTGGGCCGTGGGCCCGGACCCCCCCACGAAGCCCAAGAGAAGCGATGGCTCGATGATGCGCCCGGACCCCGCGCATCAGCAGCATCAGCAGACCCCCCCCCGGACGTGGGTTTCGATGATGCGCACTTTGGGGGCGGGTCAAGGGCAACAGGGGTGGGGGTCGGAGGCACGCGTGAAAAACCTCATAAAAACACGGTATTTACGGTGATTTCAGCGTTTTTCAGCGTTTTTTATTGCCTTGGGCCCGCGGGCCAGGGCTGCTGATGCTCATGATGCTCGCCTGGTTTTGGGCTTCCGGTACCCCCCCCAAACCTTGAAAAACGTGGTTTCGGCCTGGCGCGCGCCCCATGTGAAAAGCTAGGGCCGATGATGCGCGCCCGTGAGGGTTTAATGGGGTGCTGCGGGTGTTTTGTGGCCTCGGTTTTTCGTAAAAACCCATGGTTTTTACGAGGTTTTCGTGCTTTTCGCACCACCGCGTGTTGCGTCCCCTTGGATGCCGTTTTGGAGGCCTCCCGAAGGGCCCCGCGCGAATTTGAAGCAATTTTGGGCGGGGTCGGCGGCTCGGGCGCTCGCCCCTTAAAGCTAGCGCTTTAGTGCGACGCGGGCTCCGCCCTGGACCACGGGCGGCGCGGGGGCCGGATTTTAAGGGGCTGCGCCCATGGGCGGGCAGCGCAGGCAGAAGCGCGGGGCGAGCAGTTTCTAAGCATTTTGAGGCCCCTAAACTCCCTTAAAATCTCTAAGCGTTTGAGGCTCCTCAACCCCCTCAAAGTTTCCAAGCATTTTCAGGCCCCTAAACTCCCTTCAAATCTCTAAGCGTTTGAGGTTCCTAGACTCCCTTAAAGTTTCTAAGCACTTTATAAGGCCCCTAAACTCTCTTTTTCCTAGCCCCGGGCTTAGACACGTCGCTTATGCCCGCCCTTTGGGGGGCATCATGCTCCTGATGCGCCCCCGGGGTCCCGCCCCGGGAGCCGCTGATGCTCCTGATGCGCGCCTGGGATTCCCGGGCTGGACCCGCTGATGCTCATGATGCGCGCCCTCTGGGGGCCTCCGTGGCGACGCAAAAAACCACGAAAAAAAAACCGTTCACCGGCGGCACGCGGGGGTCGGCGGCACTGGCGTCCGGCCTAATTCTGCTTCGCAGAAGGCCAGAGGCCAGCAAGGCTATTCCCGGGACGACCCGGGCTAAAAGGTCCGCATTTGCTCGGTCCTTTGGGGACCTCGCGCTGCCCGATTTAATGGCTACCGCCAGTGCCGCCGACCCCAGACCCAACAAGACAGTCCTCTGATGTGCTTTGGGGTGGGGGGGGGTGGGGAGGGGGTGGGGGGGGGGGGGCCGGGGGGTGGGGGGGGTGTTGGGGTGGGGGGGGGGGTGGGGTGGGGGGGGGGTGGGGGGGTGGTGGGGGTGGGTGAGGGGGGGTGGGGGGGGGTGGGGGGCGGGGAAAACGGAGGGGGCCGCGGGATGCACTGGAGCCCTTAAGAATGAGCTTCAAGGGCATGGGGAAGGGGGGTGGGGGGGGGTGGTGGGGTGGGGGGGGGGGGTGGGCGGGGGAGCGTGGGGGGCGGGGCATGCACGGAGCGCTTCGATTGGCTTCAAGGGCATGGAGGGTAGGTGGGAGGGGTGGGGTGGGGGGGCGGGGGTCGGGTGGGGGGGGGGGGGGCCGGGATTGGGCAGGTGGGGGAGTAGGGGGACGGGGTTGGGGGGGACTGGGGCGGGAGGTTGGGGGGGTGGGCTGGGACTTGGGCTGGGGCGGGGTGCAAGGAGGAGGTGGGGACGGGCGGTGGTGAGGGGTGAGGGGGGCTTGAGGGGGCTGGGCGGGGGGGTGGGGGGGTGGGTGGGCAAGGCTTGGGCGGGGCTTGGGCGGTGGGGGGTGGGCGGGGGGTAGGTGAGGGGGCGTGGGGGAAAGCGGAAGGGGCGTGGAGCCCTTAAAACTCAGCTTTGACGAAGGGGGGCGGGGCTGGGACTGGGCCGGTGGGGGGGCGGGGGCCACAGAGGGGGGCTGCGCGGGGTGTTGGGGTAGGGGGGGAAGTTGGGGACGGGGTGGGGGGGGTAGGGGAGGCTGGGCGGGTGGGGGGGTGGGCGGGACTTGGGCGGGTGGGGGAGTAGGTGGGGACGGGGTTGGGGGGGTGGGGGGGGTTGGGGGAGGCGGGGGGTGGAAAGAGGGGGCGCAGGCATGCATTGGAGCCCTTCAAACTCAGGGGGGGGGGCTGGGGGACTGGGCGGTGGAGTAAGCTCAGCTTAGGTTCAAGGGCATGGAAGGGGGGGTGGGTGGGGAGGGGGGGGGGGGGGGCTGGGGTACAGGGGTTTTAGGGTTCGAGGTTTAGGGTTTGGGTTTAGGGAGGGGGGGCTGGGGGGGCTGGGGGGGTTGGCGGGGGTATTGGAGCCCTTAAAACTCAAAGGGGGGGGGCTCGGTGGAGCACTTAAAACTCAGCTTAGGTTCAAGGGCATGGAAGGGGGGGTGGGTGGAGGGGTGGGGGGGGGCTGGGCCACAGGGGGGGTGGGGGGTGGCGGGGTAGCGGGGTGGGGGGGTGGGGGGTTGGGGGGGGGTTGGGGGGGGTGGGGCAAGCGGAGCAAGAGAGGATTGGAGCCCTTTAAATCATCTGATCAGGGGACCATGATGGGGCCATGAGCCACTAGGGGCCAGCAAACGAAGCGGGCATGCTTTAATGGGGCCAGTCCATGGGGGGGGTGGGGTAGGGGAGCATTGGGTCTTCACTGACGCCGCCCCCGGCTGGGGTCGGCGGATAAGACTGCAAAGGTTTCAATACTCCAAACTCGGAAGTCTTGTTCAAAGATCTGAATGTTGAACTCGAAAGATCTCCCCAGGGGTTCTGCTTCGAAGATGCCATGAACCGGGTGGACTTGGACTAGGAACTTCCCATGATCCACTTTTTCCATTCATTTTCTGCATGACTGATCATTCAAAGTGCTTTTTTTTCGGTTTGCATACTTTGAGTCCTTTTTCCCATGAATCTTCGAGTCCTGGACTTGTGGAAAATGGCTTCCAGGCTGCTGCGTGGGAGCAGCAACGGTAGCATAAAGGCCGGGGCTGTTGTGATTGTTGTGCTCCCCGACTACCTGGAGGTGTGCAGCATGGCCATTTGCGGAAAATTGCTCACCCGAACCTTTCCAGGGCGAGCTGCAAAGTAAAGTTGGATCCCCTTGAACTCACCATGGACGAGCCTGCGCATGATAAGTCAAAGAGCAGAAAACCATGGGACCCTGAACCTAGCTTAGCTTAGTCCTGACTGAGTAGAGCTCAAGCAGTTGTAACACTGCTGTGTTTCAGCATGGGGCCGTAAGGCCAAAAACGGCACTCAGTGCCAGGGTCTGGACACCGAGGATCACCAGGCACTTCACTCTGAAGGCTGGGGAGTTGGGTTGCGTTGGGTTACTGATCATGTTACTACTCTGTACCTCTATCGTCTATCGTGCGTGCCAAGCAGGTCTGGAGCGTTTTGGGTTTGTGGTGGAGACCCTTGTCTTAGGCTTCTTGGGAGTTCAAGAGGGTTCCTTACCAGCACACCGGTTGTCTGCGGCACGTGT